CCATGAAGCTGGGTCTACATACTGTAACTTGTTTGTAACTTCCTCATCCTTTCTTCCTTCTACTTCATTTACTTCAATTTCTGCATGTCTCTCTGAAGGTGAATACATTTTCTCCACTTCCATATCAGTCTGATGCTGTGAGCTGCCTTCATCTAGAAGTAAGTTTCCATCATCTTGAGTTTCCAAACTGCTTCCATGCGGATGTGAGCTAACCTCCTCTCAAAGTAATATATCTTCATCTGGATGCTGCGAACTGCTTCCATCTTTATTTGGATTAAAGAGAAGATATTTCAAGAAGGATCCCTGCTGTTTTGCTTGGTCCTTTTCCTTCTCAGCCTTTCATTTATGATACTCAACTCCTGAGGGTTTTCTTTTTCCTCTTTCTGCCATGGGGCATTTGAATATTGTTATGTACTAACTGTGCTCCCGACTGCAAGCATTATAGCGTTAAAGATGGCTGACACACCACATGGTTGGCAATTTAAACCACATTGCAGCCATCCCAACATGTCTTTTCACTGTTTAAAGGTTCAATGATTAATAAAATACAGTTACTTACGTATTAAAACAGTTAGTTACAGCGTTTACATGGAAACAAAATGACCTTTTTCGACGTTATAACCCGACATCAGTTGTTTGGAAAGTAATCCCCTTCCTCACGGTTACCTGCTTGGAGTGTGACATCATCACTTTTGTAGTCTATTAAGTGTTAACGCTGTTACTTTTCTTGTATGGACCTTATTTATTACATGTTAACCAGTTATAACAAAGAAAAGTTCATAATTATATAGCCTGATAATAACGCTAAGGTTTAATAACACTTAAAGATACTCACACTTTGGATTTATAATGTTGAAAGACATTATTCTTTATTCTTTGGCACTGAGAAACACAATTTTCCACAGTATTCGCTCGATTCTAAACCATCTACCTGTAACGTGTGTTAAAATGACCGTTTGAAATGTATCAACTCACGATATCTCCGCTCCACATGAATTTCTGGTTATGCGACCTTGATGTATATTCGAGTGAGTTGCCGCTGGCAGATGTGTTTCATTGTGGCTGAGTTCTTGCTTATCAAAATTGCAGAGTGGGTCATCTTGACCCTACATCGCAAATTGAAAAAAAAATTGCTAAAATATTATTTATTTTTGCAGTAAATAAAAGATTTGGCATATTAATAAATTCTCAGAAATGTAGAGAAATGAATTATAATTCATATTCCCTCTGTACATGCACAGGAATTGAAATAATGACATCTCTGTTATTTTATTTCTATTTTTTTCATCTTTTTCATATTTTTTTTCAAATTTGATTTTTTCCCCCCTCGAATTTGGCACCCCATTTAACTTGGCACCCTAGGCAACTGCCTAGTTCATCTATATGAACAGGCCACCCTTGGGTAGGTTAAGAAATGAGACTGCAAACAAACTGAAAGGTTTTATGGTTTCCATAGGTGAAGTTATGGAAGACAAAAGACTGTTTTGGATCTTCTGCCATGTGGGACAAGTGTGCACATTTTTAAACAGCACAATTGAAATGCCTACAAGCTTCACTGCTGCCTATCTGAAATTGGAACTGTTCAATGCACGTGTACATCCCTGTGTTCAGTGTTTTATTTATGATGAGGAAAGATGAGGCAAGAGAGGAGGAGCCTCAAGAGAGAAGGTGGGATTTCACAGAAACAGAAAAATTACAAAAAAAAGTCTCCAAAGTAAGTGAGTTTAGAAGGAAGAGCACCTGAGACATAAGCCCTTGTATCAGAGGCCTGGTATGAGGCCTGAACTAAAGTAGTGGGCAAGTTTTGCTGATATAAAACAAAGTTAGCAAAAGTCAGGCTGTGAGCAAACGTCAGGCTCTGCCTGCTTGCAAGTTCACAGAACCTGGCAAGAACAGGGCAGATATTGCAGAAACACACATTCCTAAGAGCTCTCATGCAAGCACATTCCAGAAGAGTGGTACCAGAACATCCTGATATCCAGGATGGTGCAAAAACATTCCCCAAGGATAACCAGAACACACCCACTCTTCCTAAAAGATCAGATCAGCTCCCAGGGGAGGAGGTGACCAGCCCTCTGCGGAGAAAGAAGTGGTTCAGGACTATTTAGAAAAGCTGGACGAGCACAGGTCCATGGGGCCAGATGCACTGCATTCAAGGGTGCTAAAGGAGTTGGCGGATGTGATTGCAGAGCCATTGGCCATTATCTTTGAAAACTCATGGCATCAGAGGAAGTCCCGGATGACTGGAAAAAGGCTAATATAATGCCCATCTTTAAAAAAGGGAAGGAGGAAGATCCGGGGAACTACAGGCCAGTCAGCCTCACCTCAGTCCCTAGAAAAATCATGGAGCAGGTCCTCAAGGAATCAATTCTGAAGCACTTAGAGGAGAGGAAAGTGACCAGGAACAGTCAGCATGGATTCACCAAGGGCAAGTCATGCCTGACTAACCTAATTGCCTTCTATGACAAGATAACTGGCTCTGTGGATGAGGGGAAAGCAGTGGACGTGTTATTTCTTTTTGATAGGTTTCCCCCAGTATTCTTGGTGGCAAGTTAAAGAGGTATGGGCTGGATGAATGGACTATAAGATGGATAGAAAGCTGGCTAGATCATCGGGCTCAACAGGTAGTGATCAATGGCTCCATGTCTAGCTGGCAGCCGGTATCAAGTGGAGTGCTCCCAGAGTTGGTCCTGGGGCTGGTTTTGTTCAATATCTTCATCAATGATCTGGAGGATGGCGTGGACTGCACCCTCAGCAAGTTTGCAGATAACCTAAACTGGGAGGAGTGGTAGATACGCTGGAGGGTAGGGATAGGATACAGAGGGACCTAGACAAATTAGAGAATTGAGACAAAAGAAATCTGATGAGGTTCAACAAGGACAAATGCAGAGTCCTGCAGTTGGGATGGAAGAATCCCATGCACTGCTACAGACTAGGGACCAAATGGCTAGGCAGCAGTTCTGCAGAAAAGGACCTAGGGGTTACAGTGAACGAGAAGCTGGATATGAGTCAACAGTGTGCCTTTGTTGCCAAGAAGGCTAATGGCATTTTGGGCTGTATAAGTAGGGGCATTGCCAGCAGATAGAGGAACGTGATCATTCCTCTCTATTTGGCATTGGTGAGGCCTCATCTGGAGTACTACATCCAGTTTTGGGCCCCACACTACAAGAAGGATGTGGAAAAATTGGAAAGAGTCCAGCGGAGGTCAACAAAAATTATTAGGGGGCTGGAGCCTATGACTTATGAGAAGAGGCTGAGGGAACTGGGATTGTTTAGTCTGCAGAAGAGAAGAATGAGGGGGGATTGATAGCTGCTTTCAATTATCTGAAAGGGGGTTCCAAAGAGGATGGATCTAGACTGTTCTCAGTGGTAGCAGATGACAGAATAAGGAGTAATTGGTCTCAAGTTGCAGTGTGGGAGGTTTAGGTTGGATATTAGGAAAAACTTTTTCACTAGGAGGGTGGTGGAGCACTGGAATGAGTTACTAGGGAGGTGTTGGAATCTCCTTCCTTAGAGGTTTTTAAGGTCAGGCTTGACAAAGCTCTGGCTGGGTTCATTTAGTTGGGGATTGGTCCTGTTTTGGACAGGGGGTTGGACTAGATGACCTCCTGAGGTCCCTTCCAACCCTGATATTCTATGATTCTATGACAGTGTGATGAATGGAGACATTTTGATCAAACCAACATGTACAAGGAGATGGGTGATAGCCACATCAGGGGGCAGTAACTAACTATGTCAGAGAGGCAGTATGTAATTTATTTGTATCAGGGTATAAAGAGGTATCTCTGAGAGAGTGTCTTGGTCCAAACAAGGCAGGAATGGAAAGTTCCGCCATTCACTGAGCTGTGTCTATTGTCACGAGCATACATGTCTTAGTATCCTCATAGAGTCTGCCAGGTGCTATTACTGTGCTTTGTCAACAATAAACCTGGCCTGGTGCCTTCATACCTTAATGGATCTTGTGATCATTGGCACTTCGCTCGAAGTCTGCTGTGCCGACTGTGTGCACAGAGCTGGGGCAGCACACACGGAGAACACACGCACACAGCCAAACATCTAACAAAAGTGAGTAGTTTTATTTACTTCCTTCCAAGTTTCAGATTTAGTCAGTAGGGTAAGAGTTTGCAGTCTTCCTAATACACTGAGTTTGTTACTCTAGGACAAACCTAGAGTCACTGCTCTGCACCCACTTTATTGGCACCCATGTCATTTTGTCAGTTCTTTCAATAGGACTTTTTTCAGCAGTTGGGTCAGCTTCAACTCTTGCTGGCTTAAGGAGATGCATGTTACACCTCTGTGCCAGTGTGGCACTGGGCCAAAAGGGAACAGACCTTATAAGAGCTCAGGCAATGTTTCCATCACTGAAGTCTTCCAGCGGTTCTGTAAAATACCAGGGAGATTAAAGCGGTCTTCTTTTGGCAGAAGTCCCCACAAAGGAGCATAATCAATTTACTCCAGTCACAACCTCTTTTCAGCCAGTGCTTCTCATATGGAAAGTAACTTCAACTATCTACAGGCCTCCTAGTAGAAGGCACATTGCAGATGCCTTGCACTCTCACCACTCACTCTGTTTGTGCCAGAATCTGGCTCCACACTGCTGCCAGCACAAAGTGTCCCTTAGGGAATTCCAGGAAACTAGGTGCCTCAAGAGGTATACAGGAGAGAGTTTATGTTGCGCTCTTGAATAGCATGGTGCAATATCTCATCTTGTGCATCCAGGCTGGAGACAGACAAAAATCTGATCCTAGGCAACATCTGTGTATTTCTGCTCATATAATCTAAGGGGCAGACCCTCAGCTGGTGGAGCAGTGATCATTTACTCCAACTGATGATCTGTCCTAAGCATCTAAGATCACCTGAAAGTGCTCTGAAACTGCCATTCCCATAGATTACTGTAAAACAAAAGTGAGCTAGCTGGTGGTTTCTGCCTAGTTCCTAGTGGACTATCCAAGACACCCTCAAAACTGGTACTAACCTGCCCCCTTTCTTGTCATGTTCAGCAGAGAAGCCAAGTACTGAATTAGCATGGAGAAAGAACTACCCTCAAGATCAGAATAGAGACACATTGATGAGGACTGGTAAGGGATCTTGTAATGGGTACTGCTGTTCTATGCTTTTCACAAGTACTGAAATCAATTGTAGAAATAGAAAAACAAACATCAATATACTTGGAGTATCTCAGTGACATTACTTTTAATTTTTCCATGTGATCAAGTGATTTTTCTGGCCTCTCTAGGGTTGAAATTGTGCTCATACTGTGCATGAGATTTTGGAGTGCTACAGTTTATGCATTCCATTCATTCAATAGTCACCGGGGTGGTTTGAGCTCCAAAAATATTTTTGTGAACCTAGCTGTACTGGGGGGAAAAGTACATATATTAAAACAATTACAGCTGCATGCAGGAAGTCTGCAGGGTTTCGTAAAAACAGCAATTAGGAGCACTGAACTAATGAATTGCTCTGGCTTAATCAGCTTGCATTACTACATGAAAATCCTGCTGTCATGCATCTAGATAAAGATCCAAATTCATCTCTGGTGTGACGCCGCAAATCAGTGGAGTTAGTTCATACCAAGGATAAATTTAACCCACTTGGTTTATTTTTTCTGAGTTACATTTTTAGGGTTTATAAATATTAAATATAGATTCAAACTGTATCAGTGGGTGCAAATACAAAACACAAAAATCAACAGGAGTTGCACCTACTTACAGATCTGAACTAGCACCATTGAAATCAATGGAAGTTTTGCTGTTGACATTCAAAAGGAGAAGTGTCAGACCTGTTGCAAGGGAGGAATTGGGCCCACAACTGGTATCTGATCTTCAGGCCTTGTTTTGTGCAGTGCTGCTGAAGTGAGTCATGAAGGATGAATATGCAAGTAGGTACTGCAGCACCTGAGGAAGAGTGGGCCAGCTGAGGCTATCCCTCCCCATGCAACACCTCTTGAGCCCAGAACTGTGTTGGGGAGAGTGCCAACTCCAGAGGCAGTAGTATCCCTGCAGCCCCATCAATGCTCCAGTCTAAATCTGGAGTAAGCAGGTTGCAACTCCCTTGGAAGCTTCTATCCAAATTCAGCTGCAAGTCAACAGTGAGGTAACATTGTACGTATGAACCAACTAGGGGCAGAGCTCTTCTTGACCTGCTGCTCACAAACTGGGAAGAATTAGTAGGGGAAGCAAAACTGGATGGGAAGCTGGGAGGCAGTGACCATGAGATGGTTGAGTTCAGGATCCTGACAAAAGGAAAAAAGGAGAGCAGCAGAATATGGACCCTGGACTTCAGAAAAGCAGACTTCGACTCCCTCAGGGAACTGATGGGCAGGATCCCCTGGGAGAATAACATGAGGGGGAAAGGAGTCCAGGACAGCTGGCTGTATTTTAAAAAATCCTTATTGAGATTGCAGGAACAAACCATCCCGATGTGTAGAAAGAATAGTAAATATGGCAGGCGACCAGCTTGGCTTAAAAGTGAAATCCATGCTGATCTTAAACACAAAAAAGAAGCTTACAAGAAGTGGAAAATTGGACAAATGACCAGGGAGGAGTATAAAAATATTCAGGCATGCAAGTGTGAAATCAGGAAGGCCAAATCACACTTGGAGTTGCAGCTAGCAAGAGATGTTAAGAGTAACAAGAAGAGTTTCTTCAGGTTTGTTAGCAACAAGAAGAAAATCAAGGAAAGTGCAGGCCCCTTGCTGAATGAGGAAGGCAACCTAGTGACAGAGGATGTGGAAAAAGATAATATACTCAATGCTTTTTTGCCTCTGTCTTCACGAACAAGATCAGCTCCCAGACTACTGCACTGTGCAGCACAGCATGGGGAGGAGGTGACCAGCCCTCTTTGGAGAAAGAAGTGGTTCAGGACTATTTAGAAAAGCTGGACAAGCACAAGTCCATGGGCCGGATGCCCTGCATCCGAGGGTGCTAAAGGAGTTGGTGGATGTGATTGCAGAGCCATTGGCTATTATCTTTGAAAACTCATGGTGATTGGGGGAGGTCCCGGATGACTGAAAAAAGGTTAATGTAGTGCCCATCTTTAAAAAAGGGAAGAAGGAGGATCCAGGGAACTACAGGCCAGTCAATTTCACCTCAGTCCCTTGAAAAATCATGGAGCAGGTCCTCAAGGAATCAGTTCTGAAGCACTTAGAGGAGAGGAAAGTGATCAGGAACAGTCAGCATGGATTCACCAAGGGCAAGTCATACCAGACTAACCTAATTGCCTTCTATGACAAGATAACTGGCTCTGTGGATGAGGGGAAAGCAGTAGATGTGTTACTCCTTGACTTTAGCAAAGCTTTTGATACGGTCTCCCACAGTATTTTTGGCGACAAGTTAAAGAGGTATGGACTGGATGAATGGATTATAAGGTGGATAGAAAGCTGGCTAGATCATTGGGCTCAATGGGTAGTGATCAATGGCTCCATGTCTAGTTGGCAGCCGGTTTCAAGCGGAGTGCCCCAAGGGTCAGTCCTGGGGTCGGTTTTGTTCAATATCTTCATCAATGATCTGGAGGATGATATGGACAGCACCCTCAGCAAGTTTGCATATGACACTAAACTGGCAGGAATGGTAGATACGCTGGAGGGTAGGGATAGGATACAGAGGGTCCTAGGCAAATTAGAGAATTGGGACAAAAGAAATCTGATGAGGTTCAACAAGGACAAATGCAGAGTCCTGCAGTTGGGATGGAAGAATCCCATGCACTGCTACAGACTAGGGACCAAATGGCTAGGCAGCAGTTCTGCAGAAAAGGACGTCGCGGTTACAGTGAACGAGAAGCTGGATATGAGTCAACAGTGTGCCTTTGTTGCCAAGAAGGCTAACGGCATTTTGGGCTGTATAAGTAGGGGCATTGCCAGAAGTTCGAGGGACGTGATCATTCCCCTCTATTCGACATTGGTGAGGCCTCATCTGGAGTACTGTGTCCAGTTTTGGGCCCCACACTACAAGAAGGATGTGGAAAAATTGGAAAGAGTCCAGCGGAGGGCAACAAAAATGATTAGGGGGCTGGAGCCTATGCCTTATGAGAAGAGGCTGAGGGAACTGGTATTGTTTAGTTTGCAGAAGAGAAGCATGAAGGGGGATTTGATAGCAGTCTTCAACTATCTGAAGGGGGGATTCCAAAGAGAATGTAGCTAGGCTGTTCTCAGTGGTACCAGATGACAGAACAAGGAGTAATGGTCTCAAGTTGCAGTGCGGGAGGTCTAGGTTGGATATTAGGAAACACTATTTCACTAGGAGAGAGGTGAAGCACTGGAATGGATTACCTAGGGAGGTGATAGAATCTCTTTCCCCAGAGGTTTTTAAGATCAGGCTTGACAAACCCCTGGCTGGGATGATTTAGTTAGGGATTGATCCTGTTTTGAGCAGGGGGTTGGACTAGATGACCTCCTGAGGTCCCTTCCAACCCTATATTCTATGATTCTTTGATTCTATGTTGGTGGTATATGGGTCAGAAAAGAGGTTCACGTACTAACAGGAAAAGTAACTAACGGAAGAGTCCAAGATAAATCAGATCATCTCTTACACTGTTTATTTTTCCTGCTACACGCCCCCCCCCATCCACACACACACACTTGTTTTACACACCCACAGAATATCAAACTTGTGCAACTTAATCATATACATTGATCTTCTGACCAGTGTGCAGCGGACAGGACAAACTCTTCTCACATACACCAGCATTAGCCTGAAAGTCCCTGAATTCTGTGAAGTTACTCTGGATTGACATTGACATAGGACTGCAATTTGTAAATGGCACCACCAACCATTTACATCACTGCTGCAATTGACCAAAGGCATTTCAATGAACAACCTGGGTGAAAACCTGGACTCACTGAAGTCAATGGCAAAACTTCTATTGATTTCAAAGGGGCAAGATTTTCACCCCTTTATGCATGGTTTGGAAAGATTTGTACTGCCTTTGGGGAGCTAGCTGAATCTTCTAGAGATAGCTTTACCTGCTTACTTAATGATGCAGTAAAGTACTGCATTTTAAACAGAACAACAAACTTATCTCATTTATTGTTAGCAGCTAGACTTTGAATTGCATTGGAATGTGTATCCCCCTCCTCCTATTGAATTGAGGTCTAACAAAATATGGATGGTCCTTGTAACGAAAAAACTTTTCCACCAACTACATACACAAGATAAGTGCCAAAAAAAGGATAGGTATTTAGAAATTTGATCACCCTTTCTAGCACACAGAGAAGGAAGGCCCCCTAAGCCAACAAGCCAGAATGTTTAGCCAGGTTCTTTGAATATTAATCTGATCCTGAACAGTGTACAATCCAGTATGTGAGTGTTTTATTGGAACTGAGCATTAATAAAAAATATGTGTGTCAGATGCTGTTCACACACAGAGAGAATGCCAGATACAATGACCTAATTAAATCAGACTTGATTACTTGTTTAAAAAAAAAGTTAGTTGCCAGCCATATCCAAGAAACAGGAATCATACATTTTGATTTACTGTAAACCAAAATGATTTACTGTTTGGAGCCCCACCTATGACCTCCTAGGCAGCTCAGTTACTGAAGGCATGTTGAAAAAATTACTATTTCCATGTTCATTGACAAAGCTTCCTTCAGTGATAATGTTGCAACATTTTCAAAACAAACAGATTAGTGGAATTCAGTGGTTATGTTAATTAAAACTACAATTCAGGCCAGTTAATTAATTTACAAAGGATACATGAAAGGCAGAACTGGGACCTCCTTCCAGCTTTCCAAGTGAGTATTTTCCTAATGTTTGCGTTAATACATAAGTGCAGGATGTGTACCATTCATTATACATTCATAAATCCCTGGTGCTAGATGGTCATCCCAACTCCTTCTTCCAGGCAATTAAAAAAGAAAAGTACAGAATAGTATAAAAATCTCTTTTTAGCTGAATTGGTGAAACCAGGTTGAAATTGTTTTGTAAACTTCCTCAACAATACTCATGGTTAAATTAAAACTTGCATCTATTCTGATATGAGGTAAATATAAAATAAAAATTGCTCTCTCTCTCTATCTGCATATGTAGGTGAGCAAAACTGAATATATGTGCAAATATGCCTACTCTTTGCAAATTCATCCCTTTGTCCATGATGTAAAAGATGTGATATCTGCATTCATGTTAGACTACTCAACTGGGTGGGTGAGGTTATGTGACCTGTGATGTGCAGGAGGTCAGACTAGATGATCACGATGGTCACTTCTGGCCTTAAAATCTATGAGTAAGTGTCATGCAAGTTCTACCACACACAAGTATTTGCATGTCCAAAGCACAAACAATAGTATGAGTTCACACACTTTTTCATAAACAAAAACAGGAGTATGAACTTCAAAAAGTCGGTAGAAACTTACCTCTCCTCCAGACTCACTGGTTAAACACTAAAAATTCAGCAGTTACATGGAAAGAGCTAGTCAATATTTTGTCCAAAAATTATATATCCTGTGAGAATATGCAGTTGTGTCAAAATCAAAGGTTTCTGAGGGGAAATATTGCCTGACTGTTTATTGTATTTTATTTTTTAATTTTCTAACTGGGAGAATCTAAAAGAAAATTGTTCAAGAATATCGATCAATGCAGCACGTAGCACAACAAGCCCTGAACTTGATGGAGACGTCTTGATGCTACTACAATACAGTTGATAAAGACCTGCCCCTAGGGGAGGAAGTTACTGAGTGATGATTTCAGTTTTTATATTTTGTATATGTGTGAGGTTGCAAGAGAGCAAGACACACAAAGCATATGCGTAGGCATGTGTATAAACGCGCTTCTCCCCCACTCCCACACCACACACCCCACTCCTTCCCCTCTACAACAACAAAAAAGAAATCAAATAAATAGAATTAAATCTGATTGTGATTTAACATTCCAAAAAAGAAATCTATTTGTGTCAAGACTAAAAATATCAAGGAGTCTAAATTTGAACTATAAAAATAAGAAGTTTCATGATTCCTGTTTGGCCTATTATTTGTTATTGAATACAGTGAAAGCAACCAGACTAAAAGAAAGTGCTAATCTATTAATACTGTATTTTGGCAATATCCAAAGGGGGGGGGCTCTTTGGCAAGGGGCACCAAAGCAAGAAAATAAAAATTAGGTTTCATTGTGATTAAACAAACTCAATTGTTTTCTTTAAAATCCTGAAATTGTCTGATGTTCAGGGTATCCTTGATCTGCTCCCTTGTGATACTTCCCATAGAAAAACCCATCAACACAAAAGTCTAAATTTGTACAGAGAGATGTCTTATATTTGGCAAGACTGAATTATATCTTTGCATTAGTCTTCACCAAAGAAGATTACAAAGTAATTACTGTCTTGTGATTATTCCTTATAGAAAGAGAAGATATGACTCTGCCAGAGAGAAGCAGTATCTGAAAAAGGATCCGATTGAACAAGTCTGTAGGGGAAATTCCTGAAGTGACAAGGGTGTGGACAAGATGACCTATGAGAAGTTAGAGATAGCAAAACCTATGATGGAACTAAAACGATTAAATTAAAGTCAATAACCAGAAGTAGATAACACTCAACTCAGAGTCCTACTGTGACTAAAGACCAGCAGCTAGTGGATAGGGAAAACAAGGTACCTCTAAACTGTAGGCCCAGCTCACTAGTCCCATTGACAAGCTCTGGGGGCTTGCTCCAATCACATGCTTTGTTAAAAACCCCATTAGTATATGGATTTGTGTTAGTCAGCCAATACTATTCTCCCTGTCCCTAAGTGTCACACGATCATCTCACTCCCCATTCAAGTTCTCCAAAAATAGTTCAGCAATCTCTCATGGGATACCCATATAAGTAGCTTTTGCTCACACTCATTATGAAAGTGGACCACAGTGATGTACCCACTATCTTTTTCCCAACTCACTGAGCCATTCATCTTATTAAGCTAACACAGCTTTCATGATTGTACCTGTGACCACACAAGACTTCCTACTAAGTATGGCCAATGGGAAAACATGAATTTGTTTTCAAGAGAATGTCCTGCTGTAAAGGCACCAATCAGTCATAATGGGGAAAGAAGAGGTTGTCAAGCTTTAACCTGAAAATGTGACTGATGTCCTTGTGATGTGAATGACATAGAAGTTGGCCTGATTCACTAAAGACAACTGGGGAAAGAGTTCACAATCAATTTGTATTGAAGAGAATGAACTGTATCTTAGACCCTACCTCTGAGCAACCATATCCCACCCCTCTATGTCCAAAGGCAACGTCTTATAAACACTAATTGTCCTTAAGCTAGAACACTGGTTCCAACATAGACACAAGCAGAAATACATATAGATATCATAAGAAAAACATGTCTTATATCAAGAACTATATTGCATACAAGACACTATGTGAACATGGATGTTCTGGGATATTGGAAACAGCAAGATTTGGCCAAAGGGAGCAAGTTGGGGCCTGGCTTAGCCAGCTTTAACTTTGTTATGCAAATCAGTCATCATGGCAGCTCCCCACAGCACTTTCCTTGTGCAGTCTAGAATTTCAGTTTCCCAGAGTTGTGATCAAAGATAAATCAGCTGAGTGCTGTGACAAGACATCTGTTCAGCCTCCATCCTGCAGGTTTCCTCTATAGCACCTATGGAAGCTCCAGACAGACTATTCTCTCTGCCACTGTAATGTTTTAACCAGTACATTGAGACTGCATGCTACATAAACATCTGGCTTTCCATTTCCTGCTTGCACACCTTGAGTATGGAAGCATGGTCCAGCAGATAAGTCTGGGTCTCAAGATATCTGGATTTATTCCTAGGTTGTCCACTGCCCTGCACGGGTGCCATTTCAGATTTGCGGGTGAGGAAGAGACTTTAACCATGATTCCAGGGGATACTTAGGCACTTGAAGACTCTAGTTTTTTGGCAGATAACTTAGCAATTAGCTGACAGGAGCATTGTATATAATTCCTACAAAAAAGAAAGAAAATTAAAAAAAAATTAGACCCACTCAGCTCTAACACTAACATGGTCTGATGTCTTGTGGCAAGTCACTTAAGGGACACTGATTAGTTAAAAATTTTAATGTATATTCTTACTTTGTTACTAACTCTGTGGAGATAGAGCCTCCATCAGGACCTGTGGTTTCTATCTCAGCTCTGGGAGGCGAGTGGGGGGTCTAGTGGGTTACAGCAGGCGGTCAGATACCTCTGGATTCTATATAAGAACATCTGAATTGGCCATACTGGGTAAGACCAATGGTCCATCTAGCTCAGTATTCTGTCTTGTTTTCTAACAGTGGCTAATACCATGTGCTTCAGAGCGAATGAACAGAAAAGGCAATCATCAAATGATTCATCTCCTGTTGCCCATTCCCAGCTTCTGGCAAACAGCAGCTAGAGACACTCAGGACATGGTGTTGCATCCCTGCACACCCTGGCTAATAGCCATTGATAGATCTATCCTCCATGAACTTATCTAGTTCTTACTGGAACCCTGTTATAGTTTTGGCCTTCACATCATCCCCAGGCAAAGAGTTCCACAGGCTGACTGTGAAGAAATGGAGTTTCTTTCTTTTGTTTGTTTTAAATCTGCTGTCTATTAATTTCATTGGGTAACCCCTAGTCCTTTTGTTATGTGAAGGAGTAAATAACATTTCCTTATTCAATTTTTCCACACCATTCATGCTTTTATAGACCTCTATCATATCCCCTCTTTGTCATCTCTTTTCCAAGCTGAAAAGTCCCAGTCTTTTTAATCTCTCCTCATACAGAAGGTGTTTCATATCACTAATAATTTCTAACAGAGGGTCCTGTGGCACCTTTAAGACTAACAGAAGTATTGGGAGCATAAGCTTTCATGGGTAAGAACCTCACTTCTTCAGATGCAACAGAAGAAGTGAGGTTCTTACCCACAAAAGCTTATGCTCCCAATACTTCTGTTAGTCTTAAAGGTGCCACAGGATCCTCTGTTGCTTTTTACAGATTCAGACTAACACGCCTACCCCTCTGATACTTATCATTAAACGTACTTCTGATACAGTAGATGTCCAATCCAGTTTTTCTTCCTTTCTCATTTCTTTTTAACCTATAATTTCCTATGTGATTATGAGTAATGAGTATTTCTTCCACTACATAATTTTTTAAATCAAAGTGCCAAAAAACATCACTTCTAAATATTACTGCATTTTTTTTTATTTCAAAGGAGTAAAGAAAGCCAGTGACAATACAGCGAGTACAAAAGTTTGCAGAGTCAGGCATATGGTGCTGTTTGGCACTGTGTAAACTCCTCTCTGATGTGGTTTATCAAGAGTCTCCCCACACCAAAACCAACCAACACGCTTTTACAAATGGAACCTCTGTTGGCAGTCATGGAAAAAGAGGTTATGGCTTTAATAAACATGAAAGGTGAACTATCCTTCCACGTTTGGGGTGGGAGGGGGTGAGGGGGGAAGGATTCCCAATCTTGGATGAGGCCCTGTTGCAAGGTCAGGTGTGAGATAATATCATTTTGTTGCCCTTGTTGCACCGACTCAGTAGACAGATGGAGGAATTTGGCCTGCATTTCTGTCAATGGATCACATTTCATGAGCACTATATTTATTTTTATATATGAGGCCTACAAAAAGGATACAAGTTTTACTGGAATGTGTGACACTGAAATTGAGGGGAAATCTGTACCAATTTATATCAGTATCTATGATACTACTACACTAATAATAGTGCTTTTTTCCCCAATAACTTGCAAATTAATATGAAGGCTGTGTAAAACAATCTGGTTTGGCTTGTCACTGGTTTGTTACAGAATAGCCAAATTGGCAAGTTCACATCATGGCTTCTGAGGTTTACATGAAGCTTCATGTTCAAACTCCCACATACGCTATAGAAATTTGGAGCAAAACCTTGACATCCTAGTTTTACTTTGCCAGCCCAGTTACCACAGTCTCCTCACTCTGCGCTTTAAGGGAATAAGTAGATACTGAAAGGACAAACAAGTTTAGATAAGTACAAGGGTGGCAAAGGGGTGGAAATGCATAGAGTGGGAAGATGGAAACCAAGCAAATTTTGGGGATTGCTGGGTACTGGGCCCCAGGTACAGCAAAACACTTAAGGACAGGTATAAATTTAAACACATGAGTAATCCCACAAAAATCAATGGAACTATTCATGTGATTGATGTTATGCTTATGTTTAAGTTAGATCTGGGCCTTGGTCTGGCTATTGTTGTGTAGAGCAGTGTTTCCCAAACAGTATGTCCCCTGGCCCATGCCGCTTCCAGCAGCTCCCTTTGGCCTGGAGTGGTGAACTGCGGCCAATGGGAGCCGCGATCGGCCGAACCTGAAGTCGCGGCAGGTAAACAAACCAGCCCGGCCTGCCAGGGGCTTTCCCTAAACAAGCGGCGTCCCAAGTTTGGGAAACACTGGTATAGAGGATGTGGGTACTGCCCTCCCTAATACTGCCCTGTGATGAGGAGTGTGTGGGACCACTGAGAATTTGAACATGGTTTTTCCTTTGCAGTAGCGCATAGGCTCAGCAATGCATAGTGAGAACACAGCAGTCTTTGTTACTCTGGGTGGTTATTGGAAAGTTCTTGGCCTCCACTGTACACATCCCAATAGAATGGGAAGTATGTATCAGGTGCCTGGTGATGGCATCTCTCCAAACAGGACCAATCCTCTTTGCCTGCCTAAATCCCCAGAAATGCTTTTATCTGAGTACTGAATGTGGAGTTGCAGACGTTCTGCTACTTGGCAGGAAAGGTGCATGGAAAGGTGTATAGAAATATTCCCAAGAGATGCAGAGGTTCTTTACAAGAAATGTTTTCAAAGCATTGCTTTGGGGGGAAATGTTTTTATTTTTTTATTTTACCTTTTCAAAAAACTTTTGGTGTCGATTGGAGATGGAGTTTTATATAAAGGATTAAATCAAATATAATAGGAGTGAGGGGGTAGAAGACTGCATTCATCAGTTTCCAGGGCCTTTGTTTGATTATTATATTTATTTAATCCTTTATATAATTTCCTCTGTTTGGAAATTCTCAAACTGGAATTTGAGAACAACTTGCAGCATGGCCCTGAGAAACCAGAATGTACTAAAATAGTTTGGTCAGGTAGCTGAAGTAAAATTTATCTAATTTTTGTGATAGAAAGTACTTGGTAATGATGCAAAAATTAAATGATGCTTGACCTAAAATGAAAAATAATTAACTTATTTATCCAACCACTTAAGACATTAATTATAAATGATACAGTTGTGTTATCAAAGTTAACTTATGAACTTAGTCAAATGAAAATAGTTATAGTTTTCAATAATGTATAGGCCAGATCTTAAATTGGTATAAATTGACTGTCTAAGAAATAATGTCCTCTTTCAGTAGAACTATGCCAATTTACACAAACTTAGGATCTGGCCCATGAATTACAGAGCTAACCATTTACCTGAAGTAAGTTTTTTTTTGTTTTTTGATTTATAAAATAATGTAAATTAAATATGTGAAGTTATTCATTAAGAGAGATTAAAGACAATATTAATTCCACTGACTGATACAGATAATCAAGCTAAAAACAGGAAAAGTGTTCTGAAAGGATTTTAACTGATTTGTTAGAAAATAAGACTATTGTTACATTTTCCAAAGTGCTTAAATGACATCACTACTAAAAGCAAGCTGATTAGTAAAAGGTGATTCAGATACATTCCTAAAATACATGCAAAATAATTGGCAAACTATCTGGTTTCCAGAAATTCTGTACTTTACAAACAGGTGCCGACAGCTTGTCCAACAGAGCATTTTCCAAGGCAAAATTGGTACCAAAGTTGACCTTTCATTTGGTTCTTCAGTCTAGAATTAATCCAGGAAAAAGATGTAAGACATACAAACGGAGGACCTCGTCCTTACGAAAGTACACCTTGGATGCAATGGACTACTCATATGCAAGGTTTTACAAGATTATGTGACTACATTGTCCCAACATAGAACTTTGTGCTACAGAGGGCTTACAGACAACAATTTGTTCATGAAAAACTGTACTATAATTTTTACACAATGTTTTATTAAATGGTAGGTACAAGTGATGATAGAAAATGTTTACAAAGTTAAATCATAAGTGTGTTGAGCATTACCATTCAATTATTTGCTTTGTCATCTCCTCTTCAGCAGCATGGTGTTTTCAGGTTGTGACTGTGTACTGCGCTCATCCCTTCTCCCACAAAGGCAGCTGAAATTTCATCTTCAGATTGTTGCTAGAGCTGGTGAAACTTTAGTATGGGGAGATTGTAAGAGTAATGGCAATGTAGACAAGGTTATAAATCTACTCGCTCATGGAGACTTAACTTTGTTCTCTTTATATAGAATTAGAGCTGGTTGGGAATTTTAATTGGAACAGTTTTTTCATCAGAAAATGCCCATTTGTTGAAATCGAAACTTTCCATGGGGATGTACCAATGTCAATTAAACTTCTGTCAGGAAAGGTGAGAAAGCCACCCCTCCCAACTAGGCAATAGCCTAATGGCTAGGGCACTCACCTGGGTTAGGGAAAAGCTGGGCTCAAGTCCTTGTTTCAATGATTATTCAATTGTTGAGACAAATTGGAACAGCTGTAATGAGAGAGATGGTGAGAGCCAGAGACTGACTCTAGCCTGATGATTAGGTGACTTAGTGGGGCTATAGGGCACTATATTGGGTTGAGCAGGGAGTTGAACCTGGGTTTCCCACATACCACGTAAGTGTGCTAACCACTGAACTGTTACTTAATTTGGGTGTGTGCGCTACCTCTGACTTTTCCACAAACAAATTCTAAAGGTCTTGGGTTCATTCCAATGTGGCACAGGGATATATTTTGCAATTGCAAAAAGTTGGGCAAAATGAAAAAAAAACCAGTTTCCCCTCATAGCTCTATTTAAAATAAAGGTGATTCTGACGGAAGAGATATGGCTGTTCTTTGCTGTTGCATCATATTATGTTTTTACATCCACAGAGTACTTATTCTGAATGCTGGCTGATAGAGGGTTAGTGGGGGGGGGGGAGGGAGGAGGGAAAATAAGCCAAACCTTATAAAAGGTTGAAAAGCCATTGGTGAACAAAACAGGAGAAAAATGTCCTATTGAATATTTGTGAGAGGTTATCTACTGAGGGCAGATTAGAAACCCAATGAAGCATACAATCCTTGAGTATTGCTTGCCAAAATGAAGAAAACATAAATGCGAACATATTACACAAATTATTATTGATAAAATGTCTATGCTTACCAGCAGAGGTAATAACAAAAATCAATGTGAAGTGTGCTGCTGTAGGCCACTTTGCCACTGCTGCTGTAAGCAGCTTCAAGTTGATCAGCCA